GCTGCAATCTGCACTTTGAGGGTACTGCATGACAAGTTTCTTTCTACCCCAGCCTGTAGAAATTCCAGCACTGAAACTACCTTGGTGAGTTTCGCGTTATTACCATCTGATCTCCATGCAGAATACACTTTCCACACCTTGTTGTATATTGCCAAGGTGGAAGGCTTCCGACTTGATATGAGGGTAGCAACGACCCTCTCCCTAACAGCAGGTCCTTTTCAGAAACCAGGCCGTGTTTTTTGGATGTGGAGGCATACTTTACATTGCATTGTATGCATCTCTTAATCGAGCTGCTGCAGCTTTCTGCAAAACAAAAACGACCAAGCCATAGTAAGCAACATCCATCCTCCAACACTGTGTCTACCCCAATTCTCATGCCCCCCAAACACTGAGAAATAACCGGCAAAAGGAATGGGGAACTCCCCCTCTCTTACCTTAGAGCTGCCGGCACCAGGATCCCCCAGATCAATTGATGCCATCATGGTACTTGAGTCACCCGCTGGGCTCCCTGGCCCCTCCGACTCCAGCTCCTGTGCCCCACCATTGGTGCCCCCCCTTGCGTGTGTGGGCACCGCAAGAGCCTTACGACCCACTGCTTCAGCTGTGTTGGCCATCTGTAGCGTGACCGAGCGGTTGTTGCAGCTTGGGTCTTATGACCCTCTCACCCGGAAGTGACGTCAGACGCCCGCGCCGATTTCGCGCGTCACTTCCGTCCCCGCACGTCCGCCGGAGAATCCATTCCCCCTACCACGAGGGCCACACAACTGCCTGAGAGGATGCGCCGGGCAGCGCCTAATCGCTGCCTCACCGAGGATGCCCGTGGCCGACCCCTGTTGCACCGGATCAAGGTAGGAGAATCGCCGTAAACCGCCGCCGCTGAAGCAGGGGTATCTGTGGTAGGGGAGCTCCCCTGAGCCCGCTACACCAATGGTCTAGCTGCCCTGCATACACTTATGCCGGGAAGCTATGGCACCAAGTTTAGACAGTTGGGGCTGTCCCGGAAGCCCCCCTTCATGGATACCCTAGGTCCACTGACCCTTTGCTGTACCCCTGTCGGGGGGAAGCCCCTGCTCACCAGCACGTAGGCCTAGGAAAACAACAAACATTACAATGTCCTGCTCGGCCGGAGGAAACACAAAATAACTGAAGTGTGCTAGGCTGGTACTCTTTTTATTCTAGGTGTGGGTGATGTTTCCTGTGGGAGGAGCCTATCTCTCTAATGCTGTCCTGGAAGGTGACTAGAGAAAATGTACTTTGTTCCTCACTCCTGCGTTTTTCACTTTGTGGCCCTTACAGTCTTTGTGAGAAGATCAGATGGGTCCTCTTCCTGGTGCACATATCACACAACTCAATTAATTCCTATTGGATGAACCGTACTCCACTGAAAGGCTGGGGTCAGTATGCGTATTGACCAACCATAGGACTGAACAGAGCCACAGCATGCAAGAGGACCAAGCTGTGATAATTGGCTTGCAAAAGCTGTGCAGCACCAGGCAGCCCCACGGTGCAGATCTTGAGGCGGGAAGAAGGTAAAGTATTTAATCTAGTATTGCCGAGTGAACTTGTGTGGGGTTTTATTTAGGTAGAACTTCACTAAAAGTGACATCTTCCTTTCATATAATTCACTGCAAGAATATTTTCATGCCAGCTCACAGGGGAATAGGAGTGTACTTTCTAAAGTCTGTGCTATACAACTCTCTACATTACCCTGCAAGGCAGTTTTGAATCTGGTTGTTGTAAATCTTTTTTTATTGCCATCTGGTCTTCACCAGGGTGATTTCTGCTCACTTCCCACCATGACACAACCAATAGTTCACCCCTTTTTCCGCTATGTGAGGAATATCGAAATATCTCTGAACCTGCAGGGTGAATGAAAAATCTACTGGTGTATGGCAGCTTTAGGTAGCGTACAACAGATCAGATTCTGCACAGTCCCACTCTACACTGCTTGGCTTTATTCTGTGCCAGGCAGTGGTCACTTGCATTTTATTTAAAGCTGTTAGGCTCCATTGCACAGGCATCTTAATATGCTGCATGAAGAAGAATGGGAAGGTTGAGCTTTCATCCCTACAGTCTATTTCAATTAAATTGCATCTTAAGCCATGAATAAAAATGTTATATATTGCAACACAACCCAAGAACAAAATAACAAATTTCGTTACTCACCTTTGGATTATGCTGTTTCCTACAAGAGCACTGGACACTGGCAAACAAAATTGCAGGTCAGCCGAGAGCTACTTCGGTTGTTTGTCACAATCGCTGACCTGCGCTGGGTAATGGCTAGTTGGCAGTGGATACACCGGCCTCCAAGTCCAATGTTTCACCTGCCAGGCATAACCCAGTGCAGGCCCCCTCTGCTTCAGTCATTGGCTTCCTAGCAACCAATGGCATCAGGCAGGGCCCGCTGCTACAACTACAAGTGATATGGGCAGCGGTACAGCCACGCAGGTCACTTGTATTAGGGGGGGGATAACAGTCCCACTGTATTAGATACCTCCAGCTCTCACTCTGCTATTGGCTGCAGGGCTGCTGGCAGTGTGCTCACTGATGCAGCCATCTGTGGCTTGGAAAGATGTTGACCTCTGCTTCTAGAATCTGTCAAGTTATCAGTCTTCCCTGATGGAGGTAAATGCAGCTACTTCCTATGTTCCCATTCCTGAGGCTTTACAGTCATGCAGGATTTTATTCCCCACATGGGTTTCCTGTCTATACACATGGTGAGCACTTTGGTTAAGTATTGGACTGCAGAGGCTTTGTCCAAAACTTGCTTAATCCTCATGGCCTTCGAGGGACAATGTTTCTCTGGCTCTACCCTTAAAGCAATCAGACGCTGCTGAAAGCAGGACCACTCATAGTAACATGACCATCAAAGATGCTGAGAGCAGGACCACTCATCTTAAGAAACCAAAAGAACATGCTCCAGAGTTAGCTCCCTATCTGTTAAGAAACATTCCTTTTTTAGGCCACTGACATGGCCCCCAGTCTAAGGCTCAAAGTCTGCTAAATCATCAGACAAGTCTTCCTCTGCATGAAGGTCCATACTCACTTCCCAAAATATGTTAACCTTTACAGCCACTTGGATAGCTTGCATCACAAAATCTGGGTGCGGGAGGTGGTTTCCAGGGGATAAAAGCTGGTGTTCGGACTCCCTACCCCACCACCATTCTTCCTGTGTCAATACAGAGATTAGCAGAGCTTCAAACCCTATCAGGTCTTCTGGACCAAGCTGTTATGGCCTTGATTCCTGTGAAACAATGTTTTTGCAGGGGGTTGTTTCCAAACCCACAAGGGAACGTACACCCCACCTGGGATCTCAAAGCTCTGAATGTATGCAAGCTAATAAATTCCACATGGACTCCCAACTTCTGCAGCCATCAAGTACGTGTAGCCCAATGTCCCATCTTTCTAGCGCTTTGGTTTGGGGCCATGCTATTCAGTCTCACATCTGCACCTTGTATTTTTAAAGTGCTGGAATTTAAACAGCGCTCTGTTGGCACAGGTTCAACTGTCCACACATTACAAATGCTGAATTGGATCCCACCCCTTCAGAAATTAGTGCTGAAAGCTTCCTAATTTGGAATATCTGGGACTAGTCCTAGACACATCAGGCCAGAGTGTTACCCAAGAGAAACTCATCTAGCCACACACTTATACTCCTTTGTAGTCTAGCCCCCAGTTTTACAATTTACATTTTTCTATACTTAATCACCCAAAGAAAAAAAAATCCCCATTAACTGCAAGTATTGTTAACAGCTCAGTCCAAAAAAACATTGCTTATACACAGCAATTTCCAACAGAAATGACCAAGAGTTTTTAATCAATGCCATAAATGTGAAAAAGATGTACGATTCTTTTAAGACTTGTATATATGCCAGGCATAAATGCTGTGGTTAGGTAAAAAAAGGGCAGCCATTGAACTTTGTGCCACATACCAAATCTTGGGCATGGACTAAACAGAGTAGGTTTTGGATTGTGCAAGTGGAGGAATCATACAAGAAAGTGCCTGGTAAAATTTAACTCAAGACCCCCATTGCGGCAAAGTATGCCAACTGCTAAGCTCTGCTGTTCTGGGCTCAATTCCCACCAGACGCTAGCAGATACAAAAACAGATCAGTTAATATGGGAGTAGGGCAGAGTGAGGTCAGGACTTCAGAAACTTAGTGGTATAATCTAAAGTGAATGTATTCTAATGTGCTGCAGAATTTGTTTGGGGGGGGGGCACCTGTCAGTGAAGCCCACACACACCACTCTCGACTAATACAGGACACCATATTTTACAGCAAACTGTTTTTATTAAATATTCCCACTTAAGTTCATCAAAAGGGTTATTTCTGTAGAAGAAAAAAAAAAAAAAAAAAAATGATTAAACAGGCGCTCAACTTGTCAAATGCAAATCAAACGAAGTGAAACTTACTGCTGGGCATTCAATGTCTCCACTGTTAATATCGTCAATTACATCATGTGCGGGTCTGCCATCAATATTGCAGCCAACGGATTGAGATGTGCCCAGAATCTCCTTGATGGTTCCTAGAACAAGGAGGTATAACAATCACTTTCAACATCATTGGTCAGGCAAGTTTGCCAGGAAAGTCATCAGTACAGATGGCAACAGTGCTCAGAGATGGACAGTTGACATGTTTAGCTCTTTACACCTTTAGTACTTACCAGATAGTTCTCTGGCCAGGGAACGATGTCTCATTTGACGAGCAATGGCGACAACTTCATCAAAAGTGATGCTTCCACTGTGTTTAACTGTTCAATTAAATAGAAAGGGTTAAGTAAACATATGACCCCTTCAATGAGCAGAGTAACAACTTAGTGACATTAAACCCTCAGATTTTTTTTAACAAACCAATACTGTAATGTGCGCCTTACTGTAATCCATGGTAGTTTCCCTTCTCTTTGCTGCTCTTCCTTTTAAATCCGTATCTCTTCTCATGCTGGGCAGAACTTGTTTTGCAGCAGACGGCCTTGTCTCAGGAATGGATACACGGTGTTACTATAGGCTGTAACCTGAGCCAGCACTACAGGAAGAGGCAGTCAGCTGCAAAGGGAAGTTCTCCCCAAGCATGAGAAGTCATGAGGATTTAAAAAGGAAGAGCAGCAAAGAGAAGGGAAACAACCATGGATTACAGTAAGGCACACATTACAGTATTGTTTTATGTTAAAAAATCTGAGGGTTTGTCACTTTAATACAAATGTCTCCAAACTTTCGGCACAGAGTCACTCACTGGTAGAGTGAGCCTGTTTCCTAAGCTGGAGATTGATCTTAGCACACCACTGGAATATGACCAGTCACATTTGAATGGCATAGTGGCGGGTGGCTGGGCAAAAAAACAAAACACCTAATTGATGGGGTGGCCTGTGAAATGGCAAAGGGTTTAGTTATTGAGAACATGCAGTGAACTTCATGCTCAGACAAATACCCAAGCCCTAAACAAGTCATTTTCTGCTTATTTTAAGCGAGTAACCCAAAATATTAAAGTGTCAGAAAGAGAGCCAGGGCAATATGGTCCCTCATGGTTTTCATTAAAGAAAAACTGCAGGCCACACCCAAAACGTGACTACTAAAAAAACTCTCCAAAAAAACCCATCAGAATGAGCATTTTGAAGGGTCTGATAACACTTACTGTTCTTCTGCTTCTTCCTGTCACGTGGAGGCTCCTTCAAGGCCTTGATGATCAAAGCAGAGGCAGATGGCACAACCTCAATCTGTGAAAGAAAGAAATTCAGTATCCTAATCACATAATTCCTGCCTCAGTTAATGAAACCTTCACCCAGTACAGGCGTGTAACCAGTCTTTCGGCACAGGATCAGTCACATGAAGAAAGATACTGTTTCCTAAGATGGGGTTTGCTCTTAGCTCACCACTGGAATATACTAGGTCACAGGCAGACCAGCATAGTGGCGGGTGGCTTTTACAGGACATTTAAAGGGTCTTTCCACTTTGGGATGACACCTATTTTATAATTGTTACATGTAGAAATCTTAGTTTACATTTACTTGGGTTAAGGTTTCTTAATGTCTTAATGGTTAAAATTTCTACTTGCTTCTTTGTAAAGTTAGGAAAGGCTGAGAGGGGTTAAAGGATTACAACCCTAGCTTCTCTATAGTATGCCAATACAGTTAAAGGACTATGGGGTAACGCCCCCCATAGTTCTCTTTAGTACATATCCTCCCATGCCCCGAAGCGCAGTATATAGCGGCCTATTGCCCACTATATACTGAAGACGCTGCAGCCGGGACACATCCAGACAATGCCGTCAAGATCCACCCCGCTGGCTGAGCGACAGCAGGCTCTGCCTATCTAGAGACTGACAGTCACCGCTCTATGCAGGGAGATGATTGGGGAGCAAGTGGGGGTATGTTTTCGCTCACTTCCCCATCAATAGAGCCGATGTGTGGCAGTTTCAATGTCACACGTCGGCTCTAACTATGGGGATGAGTGTAATTCACTTACGCCATAGTTCTCCTTTAAAGGATAAAATCCTACAACTACACTTGCTGCTTGAACAAATTATCCAAACTACAGTCACAGACCTTACACTAAACTTGATCACCAAGAATTAAATCCTGGCAAGCCAGAAAGTCATCTGCTGTCACATTGCAGTCCAATCAACGCTGACATCAGAAAGGAAACAATCTATGTGCAACTGCTAAACCTGATGGCGCTAAAAAAAAGGGACAGTCTTTGCTACCTTGCTTTTAAAAAGATAGGCTCTATGGCTGCCATTTACATTCTGGGCTTACTACCTAGTAAAACTACCTAGTGCAGGGGTAGAAAAACTATGGCTTCTAAGCTGTGGTGCAACTACAACTCTTTGAGGCATTGGAATACTGACAACCACAGGCATCACGCCAAGTGCACATGCTTGTTTCTTATTCACTGACCTAGATCAGGATAACTGTCCTGTTACATGCACTTTTCAAGCCAACTAAGCCTTTGCCATAATACTTTCTTTACAAAGTCCCTTCTTGAAAGGCTGTAGGAGGACACAACAGGTCAACCAATGTTCGTAAAGAGAATTACCTGGGCCTGTCTGTTCTGGATGGTCAGTTTCACAGTGATTCTCAAGCCCTTCCAGTCACCAGTTGCCTTGGCAATGTCATCACCAACCTTTTTGGGAGACTGAAAGAAAAAAAAGGAAGACATTTTACAAAAATAGCCCAACATTAAACC